ACCAGCTTTGTTGTAAACTGAACCAAAGTTGAAGGAATAAGCATTTCATGTCAGCTGCCTTTAAACATAAAGTTTCCACTTTACATTAGTTTTTAATAAACTATTTAATAAATAARATGCTTTTAGAACTGAGAGCAATTTGCTGATGGTAACAAACAGAGCACTGGCTGTGATCCTAAGTTTGTTGGTATTCTCCCTTGAGCCCTCTTGAAGTGGGTGAAATTGCAAATCATGCCCAAAGGGCAGAGATATAAAAGGATGATGTGGGAAGAGATGAGTATCAGACAGGAAAGTGGTCAAGAGCTGAAGCACTGAGATGCACCTCCACAAGGGAAGAACAAATGACCACAGGAAGTTCCACAACGATTATGAAGGATGATTTAATTAAAACCTGTCTTCCAGCAACCAAATTAAGACAAAGTTACCASTACAGAATCATATAATGTCCTGGCAATTACCCAAAGATAATGGTAATCACTGGACTAGCTTTCACTCTTTATCACAGTATTATTTTCTTGGGTTTCTGGCTTCGTTTCAGTGTGAATTTGAAGCAATATGTTATTTGGTTACTCCTATATTAATATTAAGTAAAATATAAATCAGAATACCCATGTCAAGGTGGTAAACTATGAGTATGGAATTCCATGCCAAAGCTGTTCCAGATGCTGTGAATCGGTTGTTGTGAGAAAAGTTGGCATTCAGTGAGTTCTTGAGAGGCAAAACTCCCAGGGTCTTACGTAAGTTATGTACAGAGGATGTAGAATTAGGCCTTGTAATTGTAAAACCTGCCAAAACAGCAGCAGGGCATGTCAGTGTAATCTTTTAGTTCTTGGCATCTGCTCTGTACTGATGTGTAGTTCAGATCTGAAGAAAATTCTRTTGGGACAAGATGGAGAAGAGAAACATGAAAGAAATGTTCATTAACCTTTCCCCTCCATAACAGCATTGGAGAGCCTTAGTGTGAAGCCTTGGTGATCATTCACTTGGCTTCATCTATGAGGTAAACACACAAGCTTTTATCTTTAAATTACCTAAGTGCTTCAGTTACAGTTAGTTTGGACATGACATCAAATATCACAAATACGGGGGGCAAGAAAATGTTGACTTCCTGCAAGTGAAAATCGTTCYGTTGGTTGATTGCTATTGGAATTAAAGGCAAACATTAGCAAATCTGTTATTACTGAGGCAAGCAGTRGGAATCAAAAGCTAAACTGCAGTACAGAACCAAGGCAAAGCAGGCTCCCATGTGCTGATRTCTCTGAAGCTGCAGAAGATAAATGAACTGAGGTAGAGGCAGGGCAGAATACAAAGCTTTGTCTGAAAGCTTAGAAAAAACCGCAAACCAACTTAAAAAGACTCAAAAACAATCATAAAACTTTTAAAGTTTGCTGTAAGAAAGACTTATCTAGAAGATAAAATAYAGAGAAAGGGAGATAAACAAAATTTTTCATTTCTTTTAGGTTCCATGACGATCAAAGCAGTCTTTTTTTTTGTCACAGGTGAACAGAATGAAATGTTTGGTTCATTTCTTTCTGTTCTTTGAGTCTGTCAGACATGCATTGTAAATTGTTTTGGGTTTTTTTTCTCCCTCTCCTTARTCCTCTACTGTTTGTAATGTTATGTCAATATGTATCAATTATTTTTGTTATTGCCTTTACTTGCTTGTATTTTGAATTTTGGTGAAGCTAAAATGGCTTTGTTTGTGTGCATAATGTTTCAGATGATATTCCGTATTCTTTCCAGCACAGTAAGTGGTATTACTGGTTGATAAAATCTTAATGTTACAGTTGTTTGGYATTAATAACAATTAAAAAAAATTGCAGTGTTGTATCTGGAGGCAACAACAACATCATATGATCAGTTCAAGAGAAATGTTGTGTGATCATTTAAAAATTATTTTAAGAAATATAGGGAATTTGCCTTTTTTTCAAGTGGATTTTGTGAAAGTATTTGGCACCTTGCTTTTCATGCAGGCATTCTTTGGGATCTCTGTTGGTGCACGTTAACATGCACCTGTAACCTACMGAATTTTACCTGCAGGTATTGTTAATAATTGTGCTGGGAAGAACAGCACCATTTTTGGCAAATGTCAGCTTTCCTACTCCTAAAGTCTCTGTATCATTGGAAGTTTGAGATTTAATAGCTTTGCTGAGCTATAAGTGGGATTAATACCATTATCAAAAGGAAGCCATTCTTGTTTTCATGGTATGGCTTTGTTCTAATTCAGAAAGGACCAAGACAAAAAAATGTTGGTATTTGATATATTTCTGTACAGCAAGGTGCTGTAACTCCCCACAGCAGAGTTAAAACTTCTCTCCGTGACACCATCCAAGCCTGGCTCTGCTGGATCTCCATGTGTCCTGTGCTGATTATTTTAATTAAATTGCTTTTAGTTGGAATGCTGCACAAGTCAATATTGAAATGTATCATGGTGTCATATTTGTTCTGATAACATTCTGGTTGCTCAGCGCTCACTGATCTCTCACACAGATAGGAAAGATGAGTCTAGGACTGGAAAGCATATGGGTTTTCATAAAAYTGGATATCTGACACATTTCCCTTCTGAAGGATATGGAGAGGATTTTGTGTTCTTTCAATGCAGAACAAAGACTAATTTCAAACCTTGAGAGTTTGTTGTGAAGCAGAGCTGTCATTTTTTGGGCTCTCTGTAATTTTTAGAATAGTTTCTCCATAACACTGAATTGTGTAACATAGGAARAAAGGGTATAATATGTGGGTTTCATTATTGCTTTTCTGAGAGGAATTGCTGTAAAGGCACATCATTTCCCCACTYGAAGAAATGGAGCTACTCCAGCTTTTGATTCTGCTGCCACAGTCACACAGGTTTGCTGAAATACTCAAGTTTGTTGCTATTTTCTGAGAGCAAACCACACTTAGAGGTTTTTTTTTTTTTTGCATTCCTCTCCTCTCCTTGARTTGTCAGGAGGAAATTGAGGGAGTTTTTCCCTTCTTATAACTGATCTTAACAGTTAGTACACTGGGGTTTTTGTGGGCAAAGTGGTCAGTAGAGTGTGGGGTTTGTGTTTTGGGGTGGCAGTGCAGTTTCAGTCCTCCCACCAGAGAATTCCCTCTGTGCCCACACAGTGCAGGGGCTCTGGCTCTTAGCTCGCTGTACAATTTCACCAAGCCATGGAAGGAGATCACCTGCAGTCCCTCAGTATCCATCAGATGGCTGCCCTCCCTGGRTACCTGATACTGCCATCCTCCTCCTGATCCTGTTGAGGCTCAACAAGGTTTTAATTTTTAAAAAAWTAATTTTTGGTTCATATTTGTACACTTTTTTAGGGCATGCAATATTGTACTTTAGAAAATAAAAATTAAATGCACTGTAAATATCAGATTTTACCCATTTTAAAACTATGATTTCTGTTATCTTTGTCAGCTAGAGGATTTCTTTCATCCCTCAATAGTCTGTTTTTTAATGACTCGGCTAGAAGATTATTTAATATGTTTTATATAAACTTTGAAAGGATACAATGAGGCATACATTTAATGCTTAAAATCTTGATTTCAGTATCATTTAATATAAAGGATCTTTTACAAAGCAGCGTTGTGCAGTGCTAAGCATCAAGGCTTTCATCCATCTTTATTGTKCCTCATTTAGGCCCAGCTCCACACTTGCACGCCAGATGGCAACTGCAGAGGAGTTTCAAGTTATAGCAGCAATAGATGAGAAGATAAGTGCCTCTTGAGAAAGGGAAAGCCAGATTGCATATTCCTTTCAATTGCACCTGATGACTTATTGCCAGTCACTAATTGGTTTGTCCATACACAGGCAATTGAGAACCCAACAGCACTGCCTGACTTTGTCTGGAGCGCTGCTCTTCCTGCAGAGATCACTGGTGAAATAAAGCCTTGCAGAGAAAAATATTTTATGTGAAGCTCTGTGAAAAGCAGACATAAGGGTTTCTTTTTTTGGTTTTTTTTTTTTTTTTTTTTTTTCATTACTGCTGTGTCAAGGTTTTTTCCTTCAGGAGAGCCATAAAATCTTGTGTAACTGTCATTGTTAGTTATTATTGCAAAGTAGCGTAGCTGTCTGTGATGTGCTAACAATTGACAATATATGCACATTTAAAACAGAGTCAGAAATGATGAGTAGAACTTGGTCTATTTTTCATTAAAGATATGAATGTTTTCATAAAAATCTTCATTTCCCACATATTTTTGAGTGCATTTTCATTTTCATCCTGGATGGAGCATTTGACTTATTTAGACAGCATACAGAGAGCGAGCTATGAAAAACACAAAATAAGTCAGGAATGAAAAACTGCTGGTTATTTTCAGTACTTGGAGGCCATCAGCAGCTGAAGGGTCTCTAGAGCTGGAGAGCAGTGTTGGTGCTTGCCATTTTCGTTGACGAAAGACAAAATCTGTGCATAATGGTAGAGCACATAGCCATCCTCATAATAAAGCCTTTAAAAGGTGAAGTATCCACTTAGGAAACAGCATCCCTCATGCAGTGAAATGGCAGTAATTTTCCAGCTAATGCAGAACCAGCATTATCTCCTGAAC